AAGAACAGGATTAGGGTTTAAATGGATCCTGATAAACTGAAGGTACTAAATCTACGCAGGAATCATCAACTGCACAAGGATTCAGATAGGGAAACACTGGTTATGTAGTGGGTTTTGAGGGGGAAAAAACGTGGAGGCTACCACACGCTGAATATGAGTCACACATCACACCGTTTCATAAAACGCAATATGATGAGCTATCAAAACTACAGCCTGAAAAACATGCAACGCAATTCTGCTGCCGCACTACTCTGCTGCTGTGTGCCTGCTCCAGGCATTGCACTGCCAGGAAGGAGTGGGATGGCAGGAGCCTGGGGAGGAGCCATGGCAGGAGCTTGGAGAAAATGGACCTTTGGGAAGTGCACGGCAATGGGGGCTAACAGCCAACAGAAGAGACGACACCAAGGAAAACATGGCAAGCAGTCTTCAGCGTGCGCAAGACTGCTGTGAGGGGGAAGTGAGTGAGCTCTTCACCATACCTATGCAGAGTAAATGTGGCATAACTAGAGGAAGAAATATTCAAATCAGACATTAGAAAACTTCCTAGTGGTGAGGACAGAGGGAGGCAGGAGTGAGGAAAATGCCAGGGCACATCTGTCACCGGGGTTTCCCAAGAACAGGCAGGATGAGCACAGTTGGCGTTCTGTGGGTTAGACCCTTCCCACTGGTCCTCCCTGGACCCCCGATGATCCACAACACAACTGGGGGGGTTCAGAGCCAACTGCATCAGCAACAGCCTCCCCCAGGGCTCACTCCCAGGAGCAGGTTATTAGCACAAATGCAGCCGACCCACCAAAAGGTATTTGGGGACACGCCATGCGATGCTCATCCAAGCCACGCTGGGGTGGATTAACCTCAGGCATCACCCAGGTCCTTCGCTCCAGGCTCCTTGCAGCCCTGCCTGTCCCACTCAAGAGAGGCTCCTGGCCACGGTCCATCACTCTCCGTGGGGATGGTTGACCCCAGGCTCGCACCCACCCACCCCTGCTCCAGGGTCAGACCTGTGCTCCCACGCTCAGCCTCCCCTGGCCAGCCAGGACCACTGCTCAGCCTCCATGGAGGTCAGAGAGCCACAGACCACGGGAAGACTCACCCACCAGAACCAGTGTCGTGGTTGAAGTCATGAGAGCAACAAAGACAAATAACTGCTGCTGCTGTTGGTACAGCTGAACGCCAGTGCTGAGGCTACCACCAGCCAGCCCACAGGCACGCGGGGTGCTTCTGCACATCATTTCTGGAAAAAATGAAATGCTAACGCTAAACTAGTTTTCATTTAAATCCTCTTTGTCATCCTGAATATATTTGCAAAACAATCAGAATTTTGCTGGGAGTTTTTGTCCTCAGAATAAAGAATTTTGGGGCGACATTGCAGACGCTAAATTTTCTTGATATTTACTCTAATAAAAATCTGACCCAGAATCAATTTTTCTGCAAGACTTTTCATGGAAGATGTGAGAGGACTCCGCATGTTTATTGATGCCTTGTCACCACAAAGCAAAGGCTTTCTTGTTTGAAAATAAAACAACCCTGGGAACTGCGTATTCAGATGAGATAGGGATCACTGCACCGCTCTTCCCCAGCCCCAGAGTAAATAAAAGCTCTGTCAAACCAACACAAACACACCAGGAACCAACCGGGACAGCAATAAGGCCAAACAAGTGAAAGAAATACTGGGTCAAAATACCACTATTAATTAGCTGCTCTAAGCACTTATTATCACACAGCTTCATACTAAACAGCGACAGTGCGTGCATACTGTGTAATTTAAAAGAATATCAGCCCATGCAACTTGAAGAGCAGCACCCACCCAGCACCCCCAGCCATCGCAGGGTGGCGGCAATGCAGGGGCAGCTGTGGGAAGGGCGCACATGGCAGAGCCATGGCAGCAATGCAGGGGCAGCCATGGGAAGGGTGCACGTGGCAGAGCTGTGGCAGCAATGCAGGGGCAGCTGTGGGAAAGGCCAGCAGAGCTGACACCCTCCCCAGGCATCACCGGGAGCCCCCGCAGCCGGGACAGGGAGGCGGCAGGCAGGAGGCCCTCTGGCCCCTCTCTGCTCCTCCAGGAATTTCCAGCCACTCGTGCCCACGCAGCACTGCTCTCCAACGGGCACCACATGGTGACGGCCAGCCCTACACCAGAACGTCCCTTTTATGCTGCCCTGCTCACAGCCCAGGGTAGCCAACCCCTGCCCACCACACAAGTGATGGGAGGTGACAAGGGACAGTGGCTATCGGGCTCAAATCCCGCTGCCTGATCAACAGCCTTTGCTTTTCCTCCGCTCTGACTTACCGCCTCCGTTTTTCTCACATCACTAAGACCACCTCTGTACAATCCTGACAGCTCTGAACTTGCCAGCGTGTACCAGCCACTGAACAGGCAGGTTGCATGCATGTGACTTTCACTTGCCCCAAACTCAGTGCAATGAATTTCATAATCCTCCTATCTCTGCAAAAATATAAAAGTACCTGAAAATAATGGAGTAAAATGCACTTTTATACACATTTTATAAAATGCATACGGCTACGAATAATTAAGTCATCTCCAGCAACCCTTTAAAAGTTTGCACAAGCAGGAGACAGAAGAAAATGGGGCAGATGCTCACTCTAGCAGTGCTTGGCAGCAGGATGAAGAGGCAGCTGCCTTCCTCTGCCCTTTCCAGGCACTTGCTGAGCTGCGACGGACGGCACGGTGAACAGCCTTCCCACTGGCTTCAGCCCAGAGTCGGTCAACCCAGGCACAAACACTCAGCAGGTATTTCAGAGGTCTGTGCACCAAGTTGAAGAGGACCCCCAAGTCTGCAGCAGCATCCCACCCCCCTGCACTCAGCAGGGAGCAAATGGGCCGACGTGGGGCCAGCAGACGGGGCCAGCAGCTACCCAGGTCAGAGCCGGTGGCACAGCACACCAGCTGCTGGCCACTGGCTCTTCCAGCAGCACTAGAGATCCACATTTGCAAGCCCCACCTCGTGCTGCTGCCCACACAGACCCCAAATCCCATGGCACCTCCATGCCCAGCCGTGCTCCCGCTCTCCCCCCACCGGGAACTGCCCAGCTGGGTAAGGCTTGACTCTTCCCCAACTGCCCTCCTCCTGCCTTGCCATCAGGTGCTCCAAGTAATTTTGAGAATATTTCCAAAAGCTTATTGATTATAAAACTTCACGGTATTTTCTTTACTCACACCAAACTCCTAATGCTTTTATAATCATACTGTGCTTCTGGCTTCAGCAAGTCCCAAGGCAGTGAATTCCTGAGCTAACTGCAGGGTGGAGAAAAACCACTGTTTCGTACTGCTTTTGAGTGTGCTTGCCATTAATTTCATTGCATGCTCCTTTCTCCTTGTGCCATGAAACAGGCAGAGGTTCCTTATTTCCCTCTGATAAGCCATTCAGTATTTTCAATATTTTTTAACTTATTTCCTCCTATTCATCTCGTTTCTAAGGTAACAATCCTGCTCTTCTAAATCTCTCTTCAAAGCAGAGATTTTTTTTTTTCTTATTCCTGATCATTTTCACTGCATCTCCAAAACCCTTTAACTCACACTGTTCTTGCTGACTGGTAGTGCCCAGCCTGGTATGCAGCACTCTGAGGTGCCATCATTGATTTTGACCAAGGCACTATACTGTTTTCCATATTATCATCCATCATACTGTTAGGTCATCTAATATCGCTGCATTTTGTACTGAAGTTGCACATTTAGCAAAGGCCTCCATTGAGCTGTTTAGAAAACATCCTGCAACTTTTCCTGAGTTAAACTATTAATTAAGAATCCTAGTAGGTACCCGAGTGGTTCAATTTTTTCCCCTCTAGTAACTATTTTACATTTATTTTCATTATTTTTTATTCACTAACATGTTTCTTTTTCCCCAAATTCTTTAGGTTGACTCAAAGGGCCTCAGAGCTGTTTCTGCTATGGAGTAAATAGCTACCATCTGCAGATTGGTTCTTCAAGGCTCAAATCCATTTCTCGAGCATTAGTGAACACAGCTATAACCCAGACGTAGTACCCACTCTTCAAACCCCTGCTCTGGCCTCATGGTATCAAGAGTTTCTCATTAGCCCTTTCTGAGCAGACACTGCTTTACATCAGCCATGGCTGTGGTTGCTCTCGCCTGTCCACTAATAGAGGGCTTCCGAAAGCAAAGCCTGACCCCAGCGGTCACCAAAGGGACCCTCGGCCATGAAGGCTCTTCAGCAGCACTTCTGCTGTCTGTGCACCAAGTCGAAGAGGAGCCCCAAGCCTGCAGCAGCATCCCACCCCTCCCACACTCAGCAGGGAGCAAATGGGACATCCTTCTAGATCAGAACTGGTGCCCATGCCTGGCTTCTAGCCAAAGGCAAGCACCAACTGTGGTGAGCAGTGTCAGAACTGACGTTTGCATTGTACATGGCCAGCGAGTGACAGGGAGCAGTAGGAGAATGCAAGGTCCACATCGCTCCCATGCCTACAGGTGACAGAAACCACCCGAAGCACAAGGAAGGCCTCCCCACACTGCTCAGCAGGTCAGGTGAAGTTGTCCATCAGCCGCTCCCAGACCCCGGTGGGTTCAGCAGAACAACGCCACCACCCGGGCCTGTAGGCAGAACAACGATAACCGCAATAATCGCAGGTCGGTTGGGACATGTTAGGTGCTGGCTTATCTGCAATGTGCCACCTAAAAGTGTTAGTTTTCAAGATGCATTCATTGTCATAGCAACGACAAGCGCAACGCGGCATTGATGTACTTACCATTTTTCTGAGACGCAAGATTAGACGAGGGCTGGGGAGAAGATCGAGGAAAAAAACCCCTCGGCACTTGCTCCGGGCAGCCCTGCTCCCTGCAGCACATGGACAGGGAGACACAGGGCCGCATCGGGCTCCACCAGCCTTCCCGCTCCCCACCTGCCACCTGGGGTCCTGCAAGTGCCTGGCCCCGTGCAGGTGTGGGGGCTCAGGTGGGTGCCAAATCACGCACCAGCTGTGGCAAGGGGCAGCCTCGCTCTGTCTCCCCCCAGCCCCTTACCTGGCCTTGCCGCGGCTGCTCCTCCGGAGCGTGGGCAGGTCGGCCTCCTTCTCCTCCTGCACCCGCTGCAGGGATGGGGAACGGCTATGGGCACTCCGGGCGCTGCTGGAGCTCGCCAGGCTGCCATCCCCTGCCCCGGCCCCCACTGCCGCCTCTTGCATCTGCACCAGCAGCTGTGGAGGCAGGCTGCGGAGCGAGGGCACCGGTGAGTAGGACGCCCGGCTCTCTGCCTTCAGGTTGTTGTCACTGGCCGAGCGCTGCAGCATGCGCGGGGAGGAGAGGCCACCGGCACCAAGGATCCGTCTCCGCTTTGTGTAGCTGGGAGTTTCTCTGAAAGGCACTGCAAAAGAGCCAGGGAAAGCGGCATTAGCTACCAGGTGCACAGTGCAAAGCCCGTGTCAGCCAGCCATACTCGGGCTGGAAGATGGCGGCAAAGCAGGAGGGCTGGGAAAGCACACGGAGCTGGGCCAGAAGGGCAGGAATGGCCACGGCAGAGGAGGACACAGCTCCACCTGCTTCCAGCTCCTCTCCATGCACCACCCCGGGGAAACCGCCCTGGAAGCACGCAGCGCAGGCAAGCCCGATCACAGTGCACCGACGTGGGGAGGATTTGGAGGTGGCATCTCGGGAAGCATTGAGGAGCGCTGCCAGAGGGGGAGGCAGCTCTGGCAAGGGCACCCAGGGAGGGTGCACGGGGCCACCAGCGGGACCCCTGCCAGCCGATCTCCAGCTGCCATGCCGGTTCGGAGGTGGCAACACATGCACGGGACATTGACACTGGCAGTAACCCTGGCCACCACTTAGTCTTCTGTTTCAGAGACAGGGAAGGCCTAAAGCTATAGCTTCAGGCATGTGCCAAGTGCAAGCCTAGAAAATACAATGCACAGAATAAAATACCAGCTACGCCCTGCCCTACCTGACACTGTACCTAACCCTCGGGAGTGTGTGGAAGAAATGGACCTCATGAAGCCACCTGAAGATGCAAACTCCTGCCTCTGCCTGCAGCTCTGCAGAGGGAGAAAGAGTGGAAATGGGGAACCCAGCGTGGTCACAGGGGAAGATGGCTCTGCTGCAGAGCCGCAGCACTGCAGACTTCAGGTCAGGAAAGACATATTCTCCTAAATTTTGTTTAACGAATCCATTTCCATCCTGAAGCTTAACATGCTTAAAGTTTGTCTGACATGTGTGGCAATGTCCAGCAGGGAACCCAGAGTTGACAATTATCCAGCCCATTTCTGGTGCAAACGTAGTGGCAAAAGCAAGGGGACAGGTAAAGCACGCAGAGGTCTCCTGTGCTCCTGCTCAAAGGCACGCTCAGAAGCGATGTGATCCTGCTAACACGGGACCTCCCACCCCATCCGCATTCAAGACTCCCCTGGCTTCATCCTTCCAAGGCCACCTCTCCCATGGCAACTTGCACAAAGGCGTGTGAGCCCTGAACACGCTCCGATGGCCACCGCCAAGGGGCTGCAGAGGACGGGAACAGCCAGGGGTCTGGGCAGGATGCTGCCCGACGTTGAGCGAGGCCTCAGACCTGTGTCACCCTTGACCGAACACCTTGAAGGCACTTCCCAGCTGTGCCGTGCCGCCGCACTCAGAATATTTTTTCCGAGGAATATTTTAGGTTCAAAGTACAGGAATGTCAGGCTCCTGTAAATCTTCCTGTTGTCATAGCAACACAATGCATTTGTTCTCTGATGAGTTTCAACCATGTGGTAGGGGAATTTCTGCCGGCAGCATCCGCGCTCCCCACAGCGGCTCAGCTCGGCTCCCCAGCCTCCTGCTGCCGGCCGCCTGCCCACAGCCTTGGTGCTGCCATCGCCCTGCGTCCAGGCCACCCTGACAGGAAAAATGGGTCAAAATGGTCACCCAGAGGCCACAGGCAGGAGGGATGTTAGAGGGAAAGAAGCAAAGCCTGGGCCATGGATGTGATGCAGTCCCTGTGGTAAAACGTGCTGTGGATTCAATGTCTGTTTGCAGGACTGTAGCATGCAGGACGCTAAGGTACAGCCTGTCCTACCAACACAACACGCTGGAGAGGAAGCCACAGTCAGGGCTAACTACAACCATGTCAGAGGCAATGCTGAACAGGTTTGGTTGACGAGGACTGCCGACCCGAGTTCATGTGTCATCCAGACGTATGATAGATCTCCAGGATACATTTAATTTTGTACTACATCACTCTCGTAGAAAACCACTTTAAAAAAATCAGAGAAGCAAACATTAAATGGATGCATCTCATGTTAACTGGCAGATCTAAAATTATTAGAAAATGGAAACAGTCACTGGAAACACAAGGAAGTTTCTTACTAGTCTTAAAGAGCTGTTTTCAAACCAAGCCAAGCCAATAACTTTAAGCATGGTTCTTGGAAAAAAGTACAGAATTACTTTTAGTAAAAGTGCCAAATGCTGCCTAGTGATAAAAGCACATCAGTTAGTTCCTGAACACCTTTTCAAACCGAAGGTCAAAGCACATACTGGTCAGGTGAGTACACCAATGGTGTACTTCCAGGGACCAACACCATAGATGAAACCAAGTGATAAGGGGATTGTAACCTGAGAAAGGCTGTGAGCTCATGGCATCAGTCAACCAAACACAAGCTCAGTGCCGTTCTGCCAGAACAGAGTCAACCTGAGCCTGTTACATCTAAGCTGGGGAACAGCAACACCCCAGAGAGGTGGTCTCAGCTCCGTCAGTAGGCAATGTCACAGCTGGAGAAATGCCAGGTTTGGATCCCCATATGAGAATTTTGGTAAACAGGAAATATTCAGCAAGAAAAAAATCAAGATCTAGAAAAATCAGCCTGGACCATTCTTCCGCCTATCCTGGGAGAAGCCAGGAGCAGCAGTCAGCTCTTTGCAGATGACTGGTGCCACCCATGCTCCGCACCAGCTGCTCAGGCAGAGTCCACGCTGCACTCCCCCCTGTGCACGTCCATTACTAAGAGGAGGCAAAATGGGCCACTCAAAGCACCAGAACTACAGCCAGACCCATGAGGTGGTACTGGTCCAGTTCATCGCTCTTCTGTACATGACTGGGCTCAGCACCATCGGTCTTGACATCAAACCAAGAGAGAAATAAATAGAAAAACAAGAGTGCAATGATCAAAACTTCAGACAGCAGGAGTTGGCCTGGGCTTGCATTAGTGTGTTTTATAAATTAATTATTAGTTTCTTGATATTAATTGCTTAGAAAAAAAATCATAACTATATGTTGAACTGATCATATGCAGGCTTACTGTAAAATAATCTTATTGGCAAGCTGCTTTTACCAAGTTGACAAAAGAAAAGGAAAAAAGAAAAAAGAAAGAAAAAAAAAAGCAGAGATTTATCTTGCAAGGGAAGAAAGCAGCACACTAGGCAGGAGATCCTGTTGGTCTGTGCTAGATCTCCTCTGCTCCTGGTTGTCTTAGCTTAACTGAAAAGCAGTAAGCCTGTTCCAGTCCCTGCTTCTCCCTACTGCACAGACTTCACACTAGGGAGATGTCAAATGGGTCAGGGCCAGGTTCAGAGGGGGAAGATCAGCATGGTTCATGGTGAGACATTCACAGCAAGCACCAATTATGGGGCAATGAGACACAAACAGGTTGCTCAAGGACTCACTGGTAAAAGGGAAGGTACTTTATAATTCTTGACACAGGTCAGGGTAAGTGCTTTAATTTAGCCTGTCAAATAAATCACCTGGTCACCCATTTCCACACTCTATGCAAGAGCAGTCATCAGCTTATATATTCAAAGTGCTCCCTCCCAACACCAAAATTATAGCATTCACCTTAAAAACAAAGAAAAACACAACCTCTCTGTCAGACTCACAGCAGAGAGGAAGAGCAGGGTGGCTGGAGAAAGCAGCCCGGGACCGTTCTGCTACTCACTAATCCATTTGTCGTAACATCAAGTATGAGTGTCCTTGAAGCACAACATAACAGCATTTACAGGAGTAAACGAGAAGGTATCCCGGTCACATAACAGGTTGTAAAGCCAAAGTTTCAGGATTATTTAATTCCAGAAGCATATTAAGAGGACAGTACAGCTGCAAAAGCAGTCTCTTGAAAGACAGGATGTACCTGCACTATCTGTGTAATTTTAATTTGGCCCCCAGTGCACAGTAACCACACGCGAGGTGGGATTCAGACAGCGTATTTCATTTGCCAAAGTGGGATTTAGGGGCAAGGGAGTCACACAAGTTCCAAAAATAAGTGACAAAGCCTGCTTTCCAGCACTATCATAGCAGCACAGACTTTCAGCTGATATACATTTAGATTGCAAAGTTCCCTAGGCTCTCGGGTGTCCAAACACGCTCTGATGTCTCCTGACCCAAGCAGCTGCAGCCAAGGACCCAGGGTGTCTACTCTGGCACATAGATGAGAGCTCAGGGGGACTCAGCAAAGCCCCCGGGAACCTCAAAGCAGAGGTACAGATGATGGAAACTGCACCTGCCCTGACTTCAGTGCTTAGCTTCTGATGCCTGCACTGCATCGGGGCCCATTTTAGGGCCACTGTGCAGCCAGGAAGGCAACTGGACCAAGACCAGATGTTTCTACACAGAGGTTAGAGATCTAGAAATGACAGTGCATGCCTGGGAAAGCCTGGCTTTCACTGAGAACACCGATGAGCAGACATCCAGGCAGCTTCACAGGAAGAGGGCAATCAGAGGAATACAGCTACTACTCGTGTGAGTGATACAGAACTTCTCTCTTCAGATGCTCCAGAGCTTCTCCAAAGCCCTCATCTAAGCACAGACTTACGTCCAGCCAGTCTGGAAGCTCTGCCATGCAGATACAGCACAAGCCTGGGTCTTTCTGGACAGAAATTGGATATATTCAGAGTGATACAACCATGCTCTCGGCCGTGATACGCAACGAGATGGAGATAGCAAGGGAGATGAAATCTGTTGCACGTGGCAGAAATGTGGAAGAGAAGATTGTCTGTGCCACAGCCAGACGGCAAAAAGAACAGGAGAGATACCCACACTGCATGGGATGTGACTGGGGCAAATCCATAAAGCAAATCCTGAAGCAAAACAGGAACTGGTGGAAGCATTTTGATGTTGAAGGGTGCTATGGGTGCACTTATTTGCACAAGAAAATCCAGCAGGAGATCAGCATTTGGCACAGTCACAAGGACAGCAAAGGCACCAAGAACACATCTGGGAGCTGTAGCACACAGAAAATGTGTATGCCCCACATACACGGGGTAGCGATGCAGGCAAAGGACGACTGCAGTCTGCACTGACAGCAGAGCCTGGCTCAGTGCTGGAGCCCTCTAGGCATCGTCTTATTGCTGTTTTTAAATCGGCCTTTCCTAGGAGAGGTAAGCAAGGGACCAACAATCTTAAAGTGT